TTTTTAGCCTATCAAAATATTTTCTCGGCTCTGTACATTACTTCTTGTAACAGATCTTTCTAGAACCTTAAAATCAATGTGGAAAGATATAAAATAATTAATGTTCTGTAATTTTATGAGTTACGTGCACTTGCTAGCATTCTGGTTCGCTATATTAATCCCCAAAGAACTCGACAAGAACGTAAACGATTCAAGTCGTATTTCGAAACATAAATGTTGTTTCACGCTTTCGAAAAGCCAGCCAGGCATTCAGCTTCATTGACAAACCTCATTAAAATGCTTAAAGCCACGAAGAGCAAGATTCCAGCCAGTTAACTCCAGAATAAATTGGGTTTGAATAGAAAAGTGAAAAGCAAAATAGTCTTAACGTACATGCCTGATAGTGATTCAATCCATGTCCTCACGATCAGCCACCGATTTTGCAATCCAGGGAAGTAAAAAGTGAACTCATTGCACGATATCATACTCTTGCTTAACAAATTCAACTTCCAAAACTCATAAAAACTTCTTTTGAACAGAGATTATACGGCATTTTTCTCTACAAGAAACGGTTACCGGTGAATAACAACATTAGGCGACAAAACACAGACTACGAGCCAGCGTACATACCGGCTTATCCCCAGTCCACTCACGGTCACAGTACAGTTTCTTAATGGAAAGAAACAAGACTTTCAAATTTGTAGAGATGGTTTGAAGATGTTTATATTTTAAATGCACTGGAAATAGTTTCAGCAGTGGGTAACAGTAACAGGAAATAAATAAGTATATTTTTCAATAATGTATTGCGTGGAAGTTTATTCGAAACGCACTGCTAAGCTAAAATATGGATTTCAAAAACGAATTACATGATGTAAGTAAAGGTTAACTTTTAAAAGGCCTCACTTACAAACTTACTTACAAGTATGTGGTGTTAGTCTCTTGTTAGTTTCTAAGGAAAAAGTTGACATTTTTGCTAGCAAATGGGTAGAGAGTTATGATAACTCAGATATTCTGGCTGACCTTGGTTGACTGTGTACCATGGTCATCCGGGCATTTACATATTTTGACCATGGTTGATAGTGTAACATGAAAATTGATTCTTATGTTTAAATGTTCCTTATATAGGAGCAGGCGTAGCTCAGTTGGTTAGTGCGCGACCTTCAGAGCTTGAGGTCCATGGTTCGATCCTTAGGATCTCCACGTCGGTTTCGACTTCTCTCTAATCCGTGTAGCTTCAGCTTTAAATACTCTTAAAACAGAGCACTGATGGAGAGAGGGGAGTAAAGTGCGCACCGTCGGCTTCCATTGATAGCAGTTGAATTTCAACTGAAGGAACTACCGATGTTAAATATAGGTACTTTACTTTTATATTGACTGTGTGCCATGATCATCATTTTTAACACTTTGACCATGGTTGACTGTGTACCATGGTCATCATTATCAACACTTTGACCATGGTTGACTGTGTAACATGCATGGTCATAACAATAATGTAAACCAATTTTATATATATATATATACAGGGCTGTCAACTCTCCCGGATAAACCGGGAGTCTCCAGATTTTGGACCGTGTCTCCCGGTCTCCAGATTAGAGTATCAAATCTCCCGGATAATCCCCGAAGCTGACCATTTCTTGTCTTGTGAGACTAGACTTTCATAACCATAAAATTCCAATTATTTCATGTTGTTTGTGTTATTTTATATCGCTAACAAAATCAAAGCGTTCCTCATGAACTGTTCTCGCAAGCAGGCCATTGTAATATAAGCGATAATCTGATTGGTCAGAAAAAAACCAATCACATCAAATGTCACAAAGCAAAAAACGTCTTTTCGCGCGCTTTTTGATGCGCTGTGACGTCATGTCCCTTCCCTATCAATTCTCCAGATTTGAATATCTTGGGGGTTGACAGCCCTGTATATATAGGAATTGATTTTTAGATTTAACATTCCTTATATTTTCTAATTTTTTGATCAATTTAAGATTTTTTTAAGAAAACCAAACCAATATTGTCTTTTGACCATGGTTGACTGTGTGCCATCGTCATTGATTATAATAAACTTTAACCATGGTTAACAGTGTAACATGGTCATGACAATGAATACAAATTAAACATATTTAAAATATGTAAACATTGATTTTAGTTTTGTTCCTTATACTTTCTTATATTTAAATCAATTGATGCCTTTTTTTGGGTAAAATCAAACAAAATGTTGTTTGACCATGGTTGACTGTGTGCCATGGTCATCATTATTGTACTTTGACTGTGGTTGACTGTGTAACATGGTCATGAAAAAAATGTAAATTGAATTAATTTAGAATATTTGAAAACACATTTTTAGGTTTTGTTTCTTATATTTTCCCATATTTATATCAATTTATGTCTTTTTTTGGTAAAATCAAGCAAAATGTCTTTTGACCATGGTTGACGGTGTGCCATGGTCATCCTTATTTCCTGATCATGGTCAGCCACCATGGTTAGACCACAGTCAAAACATGGTTGACCATGGTTGACAATGAAAAACCATGGTACCATGGTCAAAAGTTCTAGTGGTAAAGGTAAATAAGCCAGATTTTCAAAATTAAAAACACTTTTCACAATCTAAATACTTCATTTATTGGTTTGCATAGCTATTATTAATCATGAGTTTTAATTTTCAGAATATTCGCTGAAGTCATGTAGTAGAATTTGAAGTGAAGTTTTGAATGTTAAACTTATAACTTTTGATGGTTAAAAAATCATCTGGTACCAGTTAATCGCAGCCTTGGCATTTATCTACCACATTCATTTCTTTACCTGGCCTATAGCCAAAGAATGACACTTCTACTGTTGATAATTTTGAAAGTTTAATGAGGCTTGACATGGTTTTTTTTAGCATGTGTGCTCTATAAATTTTAATATTCTTTAATATAACTGAAAAAAATCAAAAACTCTCGGGTGAAATCCCTTCCAATTTTGCATATGGCTTTACACGCTGGGCATTTTTTTTGGCGGAAAAACTATTAAATTTAAAATTTCTATAATTTTTGACTGCCTTGAGTAATAGATATATACTAATAGACTAATAGAGATAGGGTGTTCAGAACAGTGTTGCTTATCAAGAAGCGTCTAAAAACACATATTTCACAAAGCATGACTCGGGTGCAAATTATATGAAAACCATTAGAAAGGAAGTTATTACGTCATTACCAGTAATTATTGTAACGCTAAAAACTATTTTGTTTTAATTCGTCTGGTCAACCATGATATTCTTGCCAAGTCTGATGAATATCCGACTTGTTATTTAGAAACTACCTCAAACATGCCGATTTTGAGCTCAATTTGTGCCCTACATGTTAGTTTATGTTTTCAAAAACGTAATGAAAAATTTAGAAATTCTTTAAGAGGGAACTATTCCAAACAAATGTTATTGACTTTTACAAATTATTTCCTCTTACAGATTTTTATTTCCTTTTCAAAAAGAAGATAATGATGCAAAGTTTAAATATTCCGGTTTTTAAAAAAATATCACCATTGGGTTCCTGAAATATGATTTTTTAAATGAAAATTTTTGATGGCATACTAAGGGTTCTGATATTGTCATAGCAACGTCTGACATCATTTTTTCCAATATGCTCATTGTGATCTTTAGTTTATAGTCTTTGGCTTTCCGGGTTTACTTGCTGTCGTATTATAGTCATATTATTATTTTTTAAAACACTTTCCAGCCTCCTTAAGTGCAGATTAAAGATAAAGATAAAACAAAAATAGTGCCGTAATTATGAAGATGGAGTTGAAGGATAGTAAAAATAAATTAAAATAAAAACAAAATAGTAAAAATAAAGATAAAACACAAAGTGCCGTTAAAACTGATTTATCCCAAGATTGAGTTTTGCTCAAAAACGCATAATTAAACCAATTGCGAACAAAATAACACTAAACGGTATCAGCTAAACATCTTTTATCTTAGTTAATGTTGGCTGGGTCTAAGTTAAAAACAAGCTTCAAAACGTTTACAGTTTTTTTAAGTCGAAATTGTAAACGAGTTTACTAATGCATTTTTATTTATCGCTGTTTTTTTCCCCTTTAAGCCCCGTTTACATTAACGATTTTTGCGGCGATTTTTGCTACAATTTTTGTGGAAGTTGTAACCCTAACCTCATCCTTCGAAAGAGACATTATTAAATCTTTACTATTATTTATAATGGACAAAATTGCAAAAAAATCACAGCAAGAATGGCCGCAAAAATYGTTCAGTGTGTGACGGCACTATATTTCAAATGCCGCGACAGCGCGAGTTCGTTGAGTTAACGCAAAGGAATGAGAACGGAGAGTAACTTTACAAAACAATTTATTGAATCGCACGACTGAATAATTTTAACTAATACAACTTGAAATCGTAAATATCACACGCTAGGAAAATAAATATCACTAAGT